CTTTTTTCGATGGCAGCGCAAAATAAAATGAAATAAAAAATACATTTTCGTCAAGGACGTTAATTGTTTTGCTTCTATTTTTTTCGTCTGGCCTGTATACGATTGTGTACATGTGTATGTGTGTGCAGTATATACAAGTGTAAAACTGTGTGTAAGAGAGAGACAGAGAGAGAGAGAGAGAGAGTCCTTTGACTTTTATTTTTGCTTTTATTTGTTGGCGTCGCTTGTTTATGCTGTTTTTTATTGCCTCCTCAATTTGCGTGCACTTTGCGGCTGTTTCTCCTGCTGCTGTTGTAGTGCTGCGTGTCCTTGCCGTTATTTTGATTTCTTTTTGCACTTTCTTCCGGCTCACACAGATACTTGTGGAGATGCACACACATAAACACCTCCCCTCTGTTTGGGTGCTGCCATAAGTGGCGTTTAATTTATCAATTTGTCGTCTGCCAAAGGAATTCATTATTTGATTGTTCCACTCATTTTTTCTACCGCCGCCTCTGTGTCCCCTGCGTCTCTCTGGGACACTGGGACACTCTTTGATCAGTTAGTTCTGTTTGCTGTCTGTTGTCTGGGGTTAATCTTTTGTTTATTCGTCATCAACATCATCGTTCCACTTCGTGTTGCTTTTTGCTTGTCGCCTGCTGCCTGCTGCCTGCTGCTTGCTGCTGCTGCTGCTTTGTCCGTGCATTCAACGGAAGTTCTATTGGCAGCAATGAAATGTTCCTCCTTTTTGCTTCTTTTTGTACTTCTTTTAGTGTTTCGGTAATTGAAGTCAAATTGTTTATTGGAATGGATGGAATATTGATTGAAGGAACAAATTGTCTGGACTCTGCCTATAACGCAGTGTTGGAGCAACATTCATTTATCCATTCCATTTCAAACTATCTACGTCCGAGTAAATGGAATTAGCCGAACCTTCATCCGAGCATATGTATGTTTTTTTATGTCGAAAAAATATTTTAAAAAATCAATTCAAGTCCAAGAGTTTAATGAACTGCATAATTAAACAAACTAACAAATACGAGTATATGAAAAGTCAGAATAAAAGTATGTCCAACTTCGAACTCCTTCAAAGTCAAAGGAATAGCTCCGCCCACACTCAATAAAGAAAACAATCTTCTAGGTTCAAGGGGAAAATGTGACAGCCTGAAAATATAATCCCCCTCAATCCCCACTAAAGACACCGGACCCATTCGAATCTTGCAAGTAATTAAAACACAAGTCTCGGCGAAAGCCAAAATAAGTAATTGCCACCTTGTTCAGCAACTTTCCGAGCTCATCAGCAAACACAAGAATCGTCCAAGGACGGTCACAAAAAAGTGAAGAAAAAAGATGCAGAGATGAGGAAAAACTCCAACCAAATTGACAAATTAAAAGCGAGTGAAAATTTTGAAAAAAAAACCAAAGAATAAAAGAAAGGAGGAAAAGATATCTGAAAAGGAAACAAGCTGGGAAGCCCAGTGAACAATTAAGCGAAGGGGGATTGTGAATTAGAAGACAGAAGGGGGTGTCCGGAGGGTGGTCGGGAGACGAATCGACAAGTTTCGGGCGCGCAATTATGATTATGGGTGCGTCTGCCTCGGCCATATCCACCTTGGACTCCGGGCCGAGCTCCAACTCCAACTCCATCTTCGTCCCACCCAAATCCCACTTTAATTGTTTTTCTCTCTCGTCTCTCTGCTCCATGTCGGGGATGCTGCCCAGTTGCCTGGATGGGAATTCATTAGAGCAGCCCAGGGGGAAAGGAAAAGAGAAGAGGCTGGGCCTGGGCCTGGGCCTGGGTCTGGGTATGGGCCAGTGGTTACCGGTCTGTCCCTGGCCATGGCCATGTCAAAGTGACTCCAAGACGTTGTCTTGGCTTTTTCCCCCAGCAAAAATTGCAATTTTTTCCATCGAAGGCGAGAAGGGGCTGGGATTGGGACGATTGTCTCTGCCTGGCAGCGTCTCAGTGCTCTGTTCTCAGTCTCCTGGTCCTGGCCGTGGCCCTGCCCCATCCACGGGCCTGCCTCAGGGGGTGTGGCCGGGTAGCTAGGCAAAAAAAAAAGGGATTCGCATCCTGCTTGCGATAAAAAAGGGGGAGAGAATAAGGACCGCTGCCTGGGCGGGCGGGCGAGCAAACATAAAAATGCGTTTTTGCCTCAGAAGTCCCTTTCTGAAAGGATGCCGAGAAGGAGGGTTGGGACGGTTCCCTAAAACAGAAAGTAATCAACCCACACTCACACAGACACAAAGGGCAGAGAGAAAGAGAGAGGGAGAGATTGAGATAGAGATAGAGAGGCGCACACTCTGGCGCACAGCGACAGAACGAGGACGAGGACGAGCACGAGAACAGCGTCTCCACCTTCACTCATTTGCACAAAACACACCCACAACTTGGTCCGAGCCGGCGAAACTTTTTTTCGCTCCAACATTTCTGTTTTCCACGTGGGGCGGGGCGGGACAGGCGGGGCATTGTTCTTGTGCCGCCATGAAAATTAATGAAGAAGTGCCCGACCCATGTTCCAAAGGCACTAAAACTCCGTCGACCGCCCAACGACCCACCGCCTGACTGACAGACGGTTCGGTTCGGTTGGGTTCGGTCTTCCTCTCCGGGTTTCTTCTGGCTACGACTTGGTCTGGTGCAGGGACAAGGGCTGTGGTCGGGACCGGTCGTGGTTGTGCTGCTAGGGGTGCGGGTACGCTGCTGGCTATAAATTCCCTTTTTTTTAAGGAAGTCTCTCAACATTGGAATGCGTCTTACATAAATGTCGGCGTACAGTTGGCAACTTAAAGATTTCACTTTAGAGGGAATGAATAATGCAAATAAAAAGATTTCACTGGAGATCAATTGAAGATGACTAAAATGTGGGACTACTAAATACCATTTACCCATACCGCTGATTGTTTGTCGTTTTAAACTAATTTCAGAACTAAATAGATAGCTACCCAGAGATCAAGACAAATGATCCCGTCGCCGGGGGGTAGAAAAACTCTTTTAAAAATGTCGAACGTCCAAAGACAATATCTGCAATATCTGCTAGACGGTTGAAATGTCCATAAAAAATGGTTGAAACAAAAGGCAATGGAAACCCGATTTGGACACACAAACGGCGCATTGGGCAACCAAGCGAAGCCAAGCCGTAGGGGTGGGGTCGCGACTATGCCTGGGTCTGAGGGTAGCCCCAGAGCGCCCCGCACTGAGTCACCCAACAGGGAAAGAGGGCAGACACAGGCAGACACACATACGGTCAAGTGGGAGTTGACCCGCTCACATTTAGAGGTGCTCGGACGCGTTTGGGCTTGCCATCCCTATTTTGGGGGGCTGGGACTCCGAAAGGAGACACTGACCGGCAACTGTCGCTAGATGGCGCCAGACGAGACGCGCGACACCGAACAGCAGCAGCGACAGCAGGACACGGATGCACGGATGGGGACGACGCCTTTGCTTTTAGCTTGATTGCCAAGCCTAGTTAACTGTAAAGTTTTATAACTTTGGGTGGCCCCGGCACTGTTCCCCATGCCCCATGCCCCCCACCCATACCATCACATCACATCACACCACCCACTCACACACACCTTCAGCTCGACTCACCTCGAAAGCGTTCAAATCGGTTGGTTTATAGCACGCGCCAACTCAGGGGGCCCTTGGCCCTCATCCTCTAAGCCGTGTTTGCCTCGTCTATCGTCCGAAGTCCCCCTTTAGCCCTCTCTGTCTCTATCTATCCTTGACAGCGTCGACGTTGGTTCGACCCTTTTAAAAAGTCGTCAATACTTGGGCTGCACATCCACATCCACATCCCACTCCAGGACAGGACAGGACAGGACAGGGCGAGAGGCAAGCGTGCAACGGCCTCTGCTCTGAACTCGGAGGCAGGATGGGGGAAGGAGCCATGAACGGACACGAACCCGTGCCGTACCCGTACTCTTTCCCATGCCCGTTACCGGACGAAGACCAGGCCAGGACGATTACTAGAGCCCAGGCGTCTATCAAATTCCAATTTTGGTCCCTTTTTTCCTGCTCTCTCTGTTGGCATTCAAAGTTTATGGCGTCTTTTTAGCGTAAATCCTGCATGGCATTGCCTGGAGTCCGGTCCTGCTGTTGCACCCTTTGGGGATCGTTGCCGGACCACGGACCACGGCCCCAATCCAATCCCAGTCCAGCTCCCTTCCCTGCTGCACCCTCGCTCATGGCAACGTATCGCTGGGGCAGCATCTTCAATATCCTCAGTTGTCTCTTTCTGGCCAGTGGCCACCCGTTCAAGCCACACCCAAGCCCACACACTCGGAGCAGCCAAGAGGAACCGGGTACGGCTACATTTTTATTTCTGTCGTCTCATCATAACGTGTTTGTCGTTGTACCGTTTTTGGGTTCCATATTATTTTCGTTATTTTTTGCCAGATTTTATTTTTAGTGCCTAACCTTTAGAGGCAGTTATGGTGCTGCCCAGCTGGTGTGGCTTGTTGACTGGCAAGTGTGGAAACCGTTCCTGTCCCGTCTAGAAAACTTCCAGTATTTGGAATATATATGTAACTGCTTGGCTCACCTCTCAAACAATACTCAAAATAGGTAGAGGATTCTCAGTTCGGTGCGAACAAAATTCCACTATCCCTCCATTTCTCTATTTTCCTATTTTTCCTATTTTTATGAAAGCTTCGCTAGCACTTGCCTGCGTGACGTTCCATCTGTGTGTTTGATTTGAAACCTTAATTTTTATATTTCTCTTTATTCAGACTGGCCAGGGAATTCGTGAGAAATGTAAATTATTCGGTGTCTTTCAAGAAGATAGCAGTCAGAATTATAGCGATAAATGTTCAGTTGTTATATGCTGTTTATATTCTCTATGGCAGGTAAGCGATTCCACCACTGGGCAATCAAAATATTTCCAATTCTGACTGCGAATTCCCACTTTGTTTACAAACCCCACCACACAGAGCGATAACCTTTCGGCTAATAATGATCGTGTACTATGTACGAGCCTGACCAGCCAACTGAGGCGCAACTATCAGACAATACTACGGAGCTCAGCTCAGTGCAGTTCGGGCATCCAAAGTGTTCACAAGTGATTCGCAAATATTGAGAATGAGTGCCGCTAGTCTACAGGTCTGCTTGGCTAGCTTGCTGCTGCTTTGTTTCGTGGTAGGTCAGACAATTTGCCCTGTTGCAATCCCACTAATGAGGTCACATCGTATCAATAGTATCCGCAGATGGGAGCAGCGTATCCCAGTGCCGAGGGACCCAGCCAGTGGCTATTAGATCAGGCCAAGGCGCTGCAAATCGATGACGCGACTTTTGGGGAATTGTGGCGCACCAAGCAGCCGGTGGTTATCACCAAGCCGGACGCAGACGGTCAGCTGTGCTCAGTGACCTACGAGCTATCGGCGGACGGAAAGAGCATCTCTCGATTAACAAGGAGGGAGACTCAGCCTGCAACTGCCGAGGGACCCAGCCAGTGGTTAGTGGACCAGGCCAGAGCGCTGCAAATCGATGACGCGATTCTTGGGGAGTTGTGGCGCACCAAGCAGCCGGTGGTTATCACTAAGCCGGACGCAGAGGGTCAGATTGGCTCAGTGACCTACGAGCTATCGGCGGACGGAACGAGCATCTCACGAACTACAAGGAGGGGCACTCAGCCTGCGAGACTGGAGACGAAAGTAGACGCGTCTAAGCCCAATGAGGAATGGGAGCCAGTGCCCAATCAGCTGCAGCAACAGTTTACCCCGATTCTTGGCACGGATCTCGGATTTTCACTGCGGAACGGCTTTGGCAGCGCTTTCGGCAGCTTCGGAAGATCGAACGGTTTTCCCCAGAGGCCAGCTAATTGGCCATTCTTCAACCAGCCACCCGGGATAACGCCACGTACATACACCAAGACCGAGGTGGATGATCAAGGACGCACTGTCACGAGTGTGTCGAGCTACTACAGCGGCCCGTTGCCTACGGGAACTAATATATTCGAGACGCAGTTTCCAGGTTCAACAGCTCCCAATCCCTTCCCACCACTCCCTGTCCAGCCCAGCCCACACAGCCCACACAGCCCTTCCCGGGACAAGCCTGGCCACCCAGTCGGCCTTCATTGGGCCTTCCCCTTCCTGAACTGGCTAGTCCCCCATCGACTACACCTCTACCTTCCCTGGCTCCTAGCTACGGACTGGAAATATTGACGACCACAGCTCTCCCGTCTCTCGACGATTTTTTGCAGCAGCAGACGACCCCCAGACTAGAGGGAAACCCAGATGATAGACCTCCGCCTCCACTGCCCACCAGACGACCACTGGCGAATGGTCCACAGGAGGGCGACAAGTCCATCGAGGACTACCTATCGAAGGTGAACCTCAGCCCTTCGGATATATTTGCCCAAAATGGAGAAGTGGTCAAGACCATTGTGGATAAGGATGGGCGTGTCCTGAGTGTCAGATATGTCCTGAGCACTGTCAAAGAGGAGGAGCAAAGGCCTCAGGAGCCACAGTCCACCAAGTGACTTAGTTTTTACACAGATTAGCTGCCATTGAATGCGAATAATGGCATCAAGGAAATACGTTTGAGCATCAATTAATAAATGATTTTATAAATAAAAGCGCTTATCAGTAGGGGCTTTGCCCGTACAATATTGTGAGGGGTCTGAGGGAATATTTTGTGGGCCAGCAATTGATCTCGACATCAACTGATACGGAAAGTGCCCAAGCGTAAACATTAGTTTCCAATTGTCACTTAGATTCCATACTTATACGTATAATATAAGAGCACCAAGAAGTTCCAAGCTTATGCTAATAACTTACCTGAAACGCCTCTCGCATCTCTACAGATTAGAAACTACAAAGCGCTCTAAAATATTCAAAATTCCAAGCAAGCTAATAATTGTTATTCCTAAAAATAAGCGTACTAAATAATTTGGATTTTTTAGTTTGCTTGCCAAATTCATTAAAAAGCATAAATGGTTTTGTATAACTAATTTATTACAAAAAATGTCTTTTGTTTTGCGCTAGCAACTGAGCTGTAAAGAATCGAACGAAAGAAAATATATAATTGCAATAATCGAAATTCAACGAAAATAGTGTTTAAATAATAATAAAAATTAATAGATTAGGCATGTTAACAACATTATTAAAGCGAAAAACATATACATAAATTGCAGCCAAAATAATTCAAGCATAAAGAGATCAAAAATTATAAAAATAATAGCGAAACGAAACGAAACGGAATGATAATTTCAATTTGAATTTCAAAGCAAAATGATTAACAAACAAAAAATATTGCATAATTTTGTGCATAACGCATTGGTGTGGCCGAAACGGTTGTTGGTGTTGGTGTTGGTTTTGTGGAGGTATAGGTGTGGTTGTTGTATGTTTTCAGAGTAGTGATTGCTGTTCTGACAGAACTCTCTCGCTGTCAGTGTCTTTTTCGCTCGTTAGCATTGCATTAGTTGCGTTACATATATAAGCCAAGCATGTCAGAGAAAAGAGAAACTAGATTAGTAAAAAATGGTTTGTATATCAAAAACATTTGAGATTCGCAATAGGTGGGTGTCTTAAATCTAGTCGAGGCGGTACAATTGAATCGAAAATAAACGGATGGCGAAACCCTTCCGACGGCATTTCTAACTAATTAAAAGCGTTGGCAAATTCAACAAAGCATAAAAACAATTACAAAGGGAATAAATATTTGAAAAATTTGTGCATCTCGTGTGCATAATTTTTGTTTTGCATGATTGTACTTGCTAAATTGTTTTTTGTGCAACAAGAAAAATGTGTGTGTTTTTTTATTTTTTTTTGCATTTTTGTAATTTTTTGCAGTTTTATGTAAGTTATTAATAAACGTTATAAATCGCCAGAGGCATTCAAATTTAATATGTAATAATATGAAATATATGTATATCGAATTGGATTTCAATGGAATAAAAGTAACTGATTTGTTTGCGGGAATTGGCAATGTTTGGTCATAACAAATAGTTTTTGTCGTCAAAAAACGAAAACTATCAAATTGTAAACATGTGATTATCCTAATAGACAAATAGTTGTTGGAAAATGTAAAGGTAAAGTATAATAAAATTTGGATTTTTATAATATATTAGTGAAAGTATTCGAAATGATTTGAGATCGAAGCTCTTGAGCGAAAATGCATCTCTTTTTTCAATATAAAATGGGACGGAAACCTTCTGAAGAATACTCGCACGTTGAAAGACAGTTTCTCTTAAGTCTACAGTGAGTACTTAAAGTCCTTACTCACCAGGTTATCAAAGCGCAAGGCATCTTCGTCGCTCAGTCCCATGCTGCGCGTCAGCTGCAAGTACGTGGAGGTAATGGGCTTTAGTCGCTCCAAATCGAGTGGTGGCAGTGGCAAGGACAGCTCCACATGCGGCATGCCACGTGGCTGGGGAATGCGAAGCTCTGGCAACGGCCTGGGCGGACTGGGCAGCTCCAACTTGAGCGGGGCAAGCACGGCCACTGGTGTCGAGGTCGAGGCCGGATTGCCGTTCTTGGGGCTGCAAAATAGAGATTTCGTTAGATTGATCGGTGTTTGGGTCACTTGGGGATCGGGAGGCGTGGCCACCGAGGCCATCGGTGAGCGTGCCCGTGACAAACTATCTGGGGAGGTCTTGAAGGTGGTAATGGAAGCGGACGGAGTCGTCGGCAGTGGGTAGGATGCCCTGGGAGGGGCCGGACTCTTGCTCTGTGCCGCGGTGGTTGCTGTGCTTGTGGTAAGGGTCGTGTTGGGGTAGGGGTAGGGGTAGGGGTAGAAGTAGGGGTTGGAGTAATAGTGCTGCTTGTCGTGGTGGTGGTTGGATAGCTGAGACTTTGCAGTAGGCTGCTGCCGTAGAGGGGCGGCGCTAGGACCGGTTCATGGAGCACCGAGCCGCCGGCGTAGAAGCGTCTCATGAAGTCGTAGTACTTGAGGAGATTATCCCGCGACTTAAGAAGCTGCATATTGAAGCCCTGGGGCTGTCCCTGGTTGGGGTCGGGGCTGGGATTGGGGTTGCTGTGCTGCTCGGAAGTCGAAACACTTGGCTCCGTACTGAGAACTCCCCCTGGTGGACTCAACGGACGCTGCAACTGTGTCTTGACCCGTATCTTGGGCACGCTAACCGGTGTGGTCTCGACAGCCGCCTGGGCACGTGGTTGTATCGCGGTGGGACTGGGTGGAGGTGCCCCGAGAACATCAAGCTGTGTGGCACTGGCACTGCTGGCAGCAGCGCCCACCCCTGCCACGGGCGCTGAACCCTTCAGATCGGCACTTGAGTGGCGCCGCCGCTTGGCCGTGGGTCCCGCCTCCAAAGAGCTCTCCGTATGCGATGAAAAATTCAGATAGTTCTCCACTTCCGAGGAACTCTCATTGCCGGCCAGCTCTGAGTCCTTGCATCCTCCCGTCGGCGAGGAGGGTCTGAGGTTCTTCTTGCACTCGGGGCAGATGGTGAGGAAGCGGGTGACAGCCTCGCGTGGCAGGAATGCGTAGGTTTCCGTTATCTTGGGGGAGGAACAGAAACAAAGTGTTTAAATTGGTTAATCTCTGAATGGTTTTCCAAGTTCAAAGCTGTGATCGTGTGATCGTCCCTGTACACTACACTCACAATTCGGTAGGTGCGCTTTTGACCCGCATGCATCCCGCTGCGTCCGCCCAGCTCCATGTGCACGTTGTAGATGATGTCGAAGAACTCCTCCACACAGGCCACCTTGCGATAGATCCGACGACCGAATCCCTTGCTCGTCGATGCGGCGAACAGATCCACATCGCCAGGGTTGTCCGAGAGAACTGCGGACACGGGAAGAGGCTTCAGGCGTCTTCGACTGCCCGCAGACTCTTCGTATCCGTCGGGACGATTTGTAGTGAAACCTGCATACAAACGCAAACAAAGAAGGAGTGAGTTAAGTGTTGATTTCCAGGAAGCAGCTCCTTCGAATCGTACCCTTTGTCTTCACCCAGAAGCGAAATTTGGAGCTATCCGGGCGACTGTGCTCCTTGCCTTCCAGCGCCTTGAGAATACGCGCCTTCTTGCGCAGCGTTATCGTCTTGGTCTTTGCCTGATCGCCGTAGGTGGTGAGGGCCCAGGGCTGGAACAGCTCGTAGATGATCTCACGCTGACCCACGGGCTGCTCCAGCTCGTCCACATCAGCATCATAGGCCGTCTCCGCCTCCACCTCACCCACAGTCACCGGCGAGCTCTCTTCGCGCTCGTCGATGGCATAGAGCTTCCGCTTTCCACTCCAACTCTCCGCCAAAGGAGGCATCGACGAGGCCACCGAGGACTGTGGTTGGGGCGGAGGAGGTTCAAGCTGGTCTAGGCTGTGCTTGCGACTTCCATTAGACTGTTCCATGATGGGCATGCACTGGGGACTAACTCAATTAAATTTAAATACTCTAACAATCAGATCAAAGTCCAAGCGATAATGGATAGCATTGGGATGTGTAATTAGAATTTTTGTGGTTGGGCTCTGCTGTGTTGTGTTCTATTCTTCGTTGGTTGGGATTTCGTGGGCGTTCTGAAAGGGAGAAGGTCACAGATAAATTTGTAGTATTTTTTTAAACCAGTTATTGATAAAGTCTAAGGCAAATACAGTTTAGTCTACAAGGTTGAAACCATTCATAAGAACTCGTCTTTGTAGCGCCAAGAAAATATGAGTATAACTTGAATTTGTATAACCTGCGTAGCACTCAAAAGTATCCTGCTACATGGTTTTATATTTTCTTTCAATTAAAACGCAAATATATTAAAAATAAACAAAATATTTTAAGTCCATTATGGAGATAATCATCTGATGAATTTCGTAAACATTTAAAAATATTATGTGCATAATAAATAAAATAAAATAAGAAAAATAAAATAAATAAATAAAATAAATATAAATAAATACAATTCAAGTTATTGTTTTCAATTTTCAATTTTCCGAGGCTACTAAATACAGAACTTCTTTTAATGTATTTCATTTGAATTTATAAATACAGAAACAGTTTATATGGGAATATTGTCGGATTGGCACTGCGACTTTGTGGAATGAAAGGGATGTGGGGAGGAAGATCTGACCAACTTCTAAAGCGTAAAGCACATTGTTTTCTTTTAGTATATTTAATGTCTCCATTGGCCTGGACTTAACGAGGTATTTCCGCACTCTAACAATTTAATATTTCATATACTCGCATTAATCACTTGTCAACGTACTTCTGATGTGGATTTGTATATCCACTGAACATTAGCATAAACACAAATTTGGTTGTAACGGAAACGTGTTAACAAAGATTTAACGAAAAGAGTTTTTTTAACAATATCAAAATTAACAGAAATCCCACAGAAACGAAAAACAAAAGTCGAAACTTATCGGCCCAACAAATAACCAAAGCCGAAAAGGATCAACTTAACAACAGCGAACGCGACGCGACCGAATGAAAGTTCAAACTAAACTGACGGACCAAGTGATCATGGTCCGGCCGAACACGTCTCGAAAGGAAGGATGCTGCTGACCAGGCGAGAACGGAACGACTTCAGGGTCCAGTCGAAGACAGCCTGCCAGATACAAACCGGTTACTCCTGCGGGCATCTTTGAACTTTGTACGCACAAGTCAACGGAGGCCAGACTGCCAAAAGGGGGTAGGGAACGGGAACTGGCTTCTCGCATGTATCTTATAGTACGAGTATCTCCCGAATCGGTCGAGCAAATATCCAAGTGCCTACCTCAATAAGTGGCGCAATCGAAGGGCAACCAACCCGACGAATTTCGAGCAGCTTCGCCCAACCCGACGCTGACAAGGCCTAGCCCACAGCCACCCCTAACTTGGGCCACGGCCACGGATGTTTTGCATTTTTACGTAGCATATTTTCCGGCTGCTTCGGAGCTCGCGAGAGCAGCTTGCCGGCCAAATATTTTTGCTCATTTTTCTCGCACGCCCGCGCTCAGTACAAGACGATGATGACGTTTAGATGCCGGCTCTTCCCTGTCAACATCCCCCAAATGGCAGCCTGTTGCGCCTTTTTTTCGCCTTGAAGTGTGCATTGTTTTGTTAGCTTTGCTCTGGCTTGTGGCGTCATATGTTGCTCTACACATAAAAGTGTTGTTGGCGTATGCAAGTTGAGTACTCTTTTTGAGGGAAAAGGATTACAGACCCCAATGGGTTTGGTTATAGAGGGGATCACATGCAATGTGTGTGCCTCACTAATAGTGCATTAAGAAAAGCAGGCCTGCTCAAAAGCAGGCTTTGAAAAGTTGAACACATTTGTGTTTATATTCGGGTCTGGGACTCCTGCATTGGATTGGATTGTCTTAGGTGGTGGTGGGTCTACTGTCTACTTAAGGGTTACTTCATTCTTCATTCTTTTGAATTTCATTGCTTTTGTTGCTTATCTTGGTATTGTCCAAAATTATCTTGTCTTGCTATTGGCTATCACTGTCCTAGAACCGGCTTTTTCTGAGTGTTTGCTGTGCCGCCCCTTCCCCTCCCATTCCCTGCCTCTTTTCTTGTGACTTCTGTCTGCATCTCAGCATCTGAGATCCCGCTGTCCCAGAGTTCAGCTTAATTACTGGACCGGACACGTAAAGCTGCTGAAAATACAGAAAACTGGTTGATCTTGAACCGCCAAAATGGACAACTGTCAACTGTCATTTGTCTGAATTATTCGTTCATTATGCAGGCAGCCGCACTTTTAATGTTTATCTTGAGATCTGTAGGAAACAGCAGTTTTGATGGGGAAAAAAAAGTTAAACTAGAAAACATAAGAGTAATCGTTTTTAGTTCTTTTTAGTATCTAATGTTTTTAAATTTCTTGAATTTTCTTGCAATAAAACTGCATGTGAAAGAATTTTGTAAAGAGAGCTAGAATAAAAGATTATGATAACCCAATGTTTTTCCGAATTATACTCTCCGAACCTAAAGTTAAATCCTAATCGAGGCAATGAACTAGACCACTGGTATAATATTGCACTGCCTTAGTGAGCGATTCGGCGGGACTGAAGTGGGAGATTGCTAGACTCCTCCGGCCCCAACTCCCCACAACTGGCTGACTGTCCAGCAGCTCATTAGTGGACGTGCTCTCATCGCTTATGCATTGAAATTGGCAGTCACTTGTGAAAAAATCAATGCATGTCTGAGTAATCGATGTCCTAATGGAATATCTAAGCTAATAGTCGTGAGGTGGGGCCATTCATCGGCAAGCCAGATGAAGCTAAATGGTGACTCCCTTCGAGGACAATTACCGAAGCAACTTATAGACAAACAATGGATGGCTTTTGGCCATTTGGTGAGCTAATGTTTGGCCGCCTGGCTTGCTGGAATGGAGCTGCTCCGTGGCATTTGGCATTTGGTTAGCAATTAAGCAACTGGCCAAATAGCATGAATAAATCGACTCGCCGGCTGAGTAGTTGATCCAAGGAGAGCGGCTGGTTCCATCCGCAAGGAGGCGGACCAGCAGTGCAGCATCTGCGGCAGGACATTAAATACAAACAAGTTTCGTGCGGGGCCGATGGACGAAGAAAACATTCTCACGCTCGAGCCCAGCATCAGCATCCGCATCTGTGGCAGGACATGGAACTTTTATAAGAAATCCCTCTACCGTTTTCCTGAACTTTCACATCAAAATTTCAACAGATTCGAGCCCAGAACTCCAGCGACCGATCCAGGCCGGTTTTCCAAACTGGACAACAGCATCAACTGACGCTGAACTTTGACACTCATTCCGGCCAAGATGAGCATCAACCCTTCCCTTCCTTCGTGCGAGTAACCAGTTTGCTCTGCCGGTCAAGCCCCAGCCTCCGCTGGTCACTTGGTCTCGGACTCAGTATTTGGGTTTCTGAACCTCGGGGTGGGTTTCTCCTGGCTGATGATCTGTATATGATTTGGCCCGCATGACTGTTTTTTCTCTGCTTTTCGGCAAAGATAATGTCCAGTTTTGGTTACTTCTTTGTCTGCCGCTGAATTGCTTAGCATTTTCGCTGATCTCCCTGATGATGCTGTGCCAAAGGACACCAATAAAAACTCCACACGTTTTGCATCTATGAGAGTTTTTATTTGAAATTTGTAGATAAAAGCCAAGAGCTCAAACCGGTTATATTTCCGATGGCCTGTTTCCGCGCTGTACTTTTTGGGTATTCTTAAGGTTTTTCTGCTGATTGAACTATGGGAATTGACCTCAAAAAATTATGCTGCAGGGTCTACGGAAAAATAATACTGAAGGAAAATATTATTAGATCTTGAATTAATTTAAGTTCGATTCGTTTTAAGATTTTGAACAAGTCTCTTCGTAAAATTTAATTTAATTAAATGCAAATACAAAAATATGTACTAGATTAATTTTTCGTTTTTATAAAACCAAAAATTCGTTATCTAATCCGATCCAAGCGGAACAAGTATCAAAAACTTCCATCGTTTCCCATTTTTGCTCAATTAATAACAATCGATATTGAATAAAGGAAATATTTTGCAAACTATTAAAGTTGTTGTGAATTCTAGAGATTTAAAATGGTAAAAAAGGAATGGGAGATTGTATAATACATTTTACTGAAACCAATACAGAGCGGGATTCTATAGGGGATCGGGGCAGGGAGTTGCAGTGGGGAAAACTGATTCGTTGCAGCCTCGTGGCAGGAAGGCAGGCAGATAATGAGGCTGCAGCAAAGGGTTTTGCGAGGGGGCAGTGGACCGGCAAAGGAAGGCGCAATTTTACGCACAAAAAAAGGGAGATGGATGCCATTCCCGTGGAGAGGGATAGCGGGTGCGGTTGGGTAGGAGGTTGTAGGTAGCTGCCCGAACAGAAGGTGGCTGGGGGTGTAGGCTTAACAACGCAACATAAATTAACGCATATTTCAGTTGCAATTTAAAAAGCGCACAAAGCGAACGGAACTGCTTCGGACATCGACGACGATGTCGACGCTGGCTTTGCTGCCAGAGTTTCATTCAATTGTTGTTGCTTTTGTTGCTATCATTAACATTTTTGTTGTTGTCAAAAGTGCCAGCACAGCACAGCGCATTATTGCTGCAGCCGCTGCCACTGCTGCTGCTGCTGCTGCTGCTGTTGCTGTTGCACGCACAAAAAACGAGTAAAACAGACAACGCCCCAAATGCTGGAAAAAAACACCCAAACTCCTGTAAAGATGCATCGATGCGCCTAAAAGTATGCAACGCATTGGCTGCCCATCTGTCTGACTGCCCCTGCAACCCAACCTGCCTGCCACCCATCCACCCACAGCGCACACATACAGAGGCGACTCCACTCCCCACCCTGCAACTCCTGTTGCTGTACATTATTTACCTCTTGTTCGTT